AAAAAAAAAATGGAGGCTAAACAACATGTTACTAAATAACCAAGAGATCACTGAAGAAATTGAAGAAGAACTCAAAAAATACCTAGAGACAAATTACAACGAAAACACGACAATCCAAAACCTATGGGATGCAGCAAAAGCAGTTCTAAGAGAGAAGTTTATAGCAATACAAGCCTACTTCAGGAACAAGAAAAATTTCAAATAAACAATCTAAACTTCACCTAAAGGAACTAGAGAATGAAGAACAAAACCCAAAGTTAGTAGAAGGAAAGAAATCATAAAGATCAGAGCAGAATAAAATGAAAAAGAAAACAATAGCAAAGATTAATAAAACTAAAAGCTGGTTCTTTGAGAAGATAAACAAAATTGATAAACCATTAGCCAGACTCATCAAGAAAAAGAGGGAGAGGACTCAAATCAATAAAACTAGAAATGAAAAAAAAGTTACAACAGACACCACAGAAATACAAAGCATCCTAAGAGACTACCTACAAGCAACTGTATGCCAATAAAATGGACAACCTGGAAGAAATGGACAAACTCTTAGAAAGGTATAACCTTCCAAGACTGAACCAGGAAGAAATAGAAAATATGAACAGACCAATCACAGTAATGAAACTGAAATTGTGATTAAAAATCTTCCAACAAACAAAAGTCCAGGACCACATGGCTTCACAGGTAAATTCTATCAAACATTTAGAGAAGAGCTAACACCCAACCTTCTCAAACTCTTCCAAAAACTTGCAGAGGAAGGAACACTCCCAAACTCATTCTATGAGGCCACCATCACCCTGATACCAAAACCAGACAAAGATACCACAAAAAAAGAAAATTACAGACCAATATCACTGATGAATATAGATGTAAAAATCCTCAACAAAATACTAGCAAACAGAATCTAACAATACATTAAAAGGATCATACACCATGATCAAGTGGGATTTATCCCAGGGATGCAAGGATTCTTCAACATACGCAAAACAATCAATGTGATACACCATGTTAACAAGTTGAAGATTAAAAACCATATGATCATCTCAATAGATGCAGAAAAAGCTTCTGACAAAATTCAACATCCATTTATGATAAAAGCTCTCCAGAAGTGGGTATAGAGGGAACCTACCTCAATAAAATCCATATACAACAAACAGCAAACAGCAAACATCATTCTCAACGGTGAAAAACTGAAAGCATTTCCTCTAAGATCAGGAACAAGACAAGGATGTCCACTCTCGCCACTACTATTCAATATAATTTTGGAAGTCCTAGCCACAGCAATCAGAGAAGAAAAACAAAAGGAATACAACTTGGAAAAAAAGAAGTAAAACTGTCACTGTCTGCAGATGACATGATACTACACATAGAGAATCCTAAAGATGCCACCAGAAAACTACTAGAGCTACTAATCAATGAATTTGGTAAAGTTGCAGGATACAAAATTAATGCACAGAAATCTCTTGCATTCCTATACATTAATGATGAAAAATCTGAAAGAGAAATTAAGGAAACACTCCCATTTACCACTGCAACAAAAAGAATAAAATACCTAGGAATAAACCTACCTAGGGAGACAAAAGACCTGTATGCAGAAAACTGTAAGACACTGATGAAGGAAATTAAAGATTACACAAACAAATGGAGAGATACACCATGTTCTTGGATTGGAAAAATCAATATTGTGAAAATGACTATACTACCCAAAGCAATCCACAGATTAAATGCAATCCCTATCAAATTACCAATGGCATTTTTTACAGAACTAGAACAAAAAAATCTTAAAATTTGTATGGAGACACAAAACACCCTGAATAGCCAAAGCAGTCTTGAGGGGAAAAAAAAACGGAGCTAGAGGAATCAGACTCCAGACTATACTGGACCTCAGACTATACTACAAAGCTACAGTGATCGAGACAATATGATACTGGTACAAAAACAGAACAATAGATCAATGGAACAGGATAGAAAGGCCCAGAGATAAACCCACCTATGGTCAACTAATCTATGACAAAGGAGGCAAGGATATACAATGGAGAAAAGACAGTGTCTTCAATAAGTGGTGCTGGGAAAACTGGACAGCTACATGTAGAAGAATGAAACTAGAACACTCCCTAACACCACACACAAAAATAAACTCAAAATGGATTAGAGACCTAAATGTAAGACTGGACATTATAAAACTCTTAGAGGAAAACATAGGAAGAACATTCTTTGACATAAATCACAGCAAGATCTTTTTTGATCCACCTTCTAGAGTAATGGAAATAAAAACAAAAATAAACAAATGGGACCTAATGAAACTTAAAAGCTTTTGCAAAGCAAAGGCAACTTACAAACAGACGAAAAGACAACCCTCAGAATGGGAGAAAATACTTGCAAACAAATCAATGGACAAAGGATTAATCTCCAAAATATATAAACAGTTCACGCAGCTCAATATTAAAAAAACAAACAACACAATCAAAAAATGGGCAGAAGACCTAAACAGACATTTCTCCAAAGAAGACATACAGATGGCCAAGAAGCACATGAAAAGCTACTCAACGTCACTAATTATCAGAGAAATGCAAGTCAAAACTACAAGGAGGTATCACCTCATACCAGTTAGAATGCTCATCATAAGAAAATCTACAAACAAGTGCTGGAGAGGGTGTGGAGAAAAGGGAACCCTCTTGCACTGTTGGTGGGAATGTAAATTGATACAGCCACTATGGAGAACGGTACGGAGGTTCCTTAAAAAACTAAAAACAGAATTACCATATGACCCAGCAATCCTACTACTGGGCATATACCCAGAGAAAACCATAATTCAGAAAGACACATGCACCCCAATGTTCATTGCAGCACTATTTACAATAGCCAGGTCATGGAAGCAACCTAAATGCCCATCGACAGACTAATGGATAAAGAAGATGTGGTACATATATACAATGGAATACTACTCAGCCATAAAAAGGAACGAAATTGGGTCATTTGCAGAGACACGGAGGGATCTAGAGACTGTCATACTGAGTGAAGTAAGTCAGAAAGAGAAAAACAAATATCGTATATTAACGTATACATGTGGAACCTAGAAAAATGGTACAGATGAACTGGTTTGCAGGGCAGAAACTGAGACACAGGTGTAGAGAACAAACGTATGGACACCAAGGGGGGGAAAGCGGCGGGGGGGGAGGGGGCAGGGGCGTTGGTGGTGGTGTGATGAATTGGGAGATTGAGATTGACATATATACATTAATATGTATAAAATGGATAACTAATAAGAACCTGCTGTATAAAAAATATATATAGAATTAAATTTTAAAATTCAGAAAAAAGGGGCTTCCCTGGTGGCACAGTGGTTGGGAGTCCACCTGCTGATGCAGGGGACACAGGTTCGTACCCTGGTCCGGGAGGATCCCATGTGCCGCGGAGCAGCTGGGCCCGTAAGCCATGGCCGCTGAGCCTGCACATCGGGAGCCTGTGCTCCGCAACGGGAAAGGCCACAACAGTGAGAAGCCCGCGTACCGCAAAAAAAAAAAAAAAAAAAAACCAGAAAAAAGAAAAGAAAAGCCAAAATGCCCAAGCACACTCACCAGGCACAGAGAACAGCAAGTGGAGAGGCCCAAGGCAACTATGTTAAGTATGTGCACAGGAAACAGCAAGACGCTGGCATGACCAGAGCAGACTGAGCTCAGGGAAAAGTGTGAGGAGGTGAGTGAAGGGTCAGCAGGGTCAGATAATGGGCCTTCTTATTTTTAAAATTTTGTTATAAAATATCTAAATATGTCAAACGTTTCCTAATTTTGTGTAACCTCTTCTCATTAACACAGAATACAATCCCAATTCTCTAAAAACAGGCATGTCTTACCCTATGCCCTGGATTTACAGCTCTCCTTTCCCTCAAACTGAGAGGTCTAAGTGATTATCCTCAGGCTGCTGTTTCTCCACCTTGGCTCTCTTGCCCTTGTGGGCTGGATCAACCTTTGTTGAATGGGGCTGTCTTGTCCATCCTCAGGTAGTAAGCAGCATCTCTGGACTCTAACCTGCTAGATGCCGGGACCACCCACACCCCAAGTGTGACAGTCAAATGTGGCTGCAGACTTCCAAATGTCACCTGGGGATAAAACCGCCAAGTACTGAGAAGCACTACTCTCTCAGCTTCTCTCTCTTGGACTAGCAGAGGATCTTGGCCAGGACTCAGGGAACAAGAGACAATCATGAAGGCACAGGAGAACAGAAAAGCCCCATAACCGAGATCCTGTGGTTTAGAACAATACCTGTTGGCACTGAAGGCAAAAACCTCCCGAGGCCCCACCTGCCTCACCCTCTTCCTGGAGACCATCCCATCACTCACAGCCCTGTAGACTGGGTTGCAGGGGATACATGAGCCAACCAGTCCCACCCAGTCAGCTCCCTGTCTGGAATGTGAAACAAGAACCTCAGACAGAGGCCAGTCTGTGCTGGGCACTGGGGTAGAGGCTCAGGGAAGTATGGGCTCAGGTGGCCACTCCTGCCTCAGGGACAACCCCCTATAGCCCAGCAGTAGAAAAAGAAAAAACAATGTTAAGTATGCAATGAAGTAAAAACAAGGCATCTGGGGGCCACAGAGAGCAGGGACTGGGGTGGCCACTCCTGCCACAAACTTGCTGAGACACAAAAGCCATTATGAAAAAACAGACATGAGCAAAAAGCTAGAGGGAGAAATCAGGACAAGAGATCCAGAAGCTGGCATACTCCTGGTGGTTCCCAGTCCTTATTTCAGTCCCATGTGGCCCAACTGGAAATTCTGCCTTTGGGTTCTGAAGAACACCCCCATTTCCTTCCACCACATTTTAGGAGCCAAAGGGGAACTGTTTCTTGCTCAAAGAAACACAGAGATAGCAGGCAGGAAAAGATGAATCTCAAAAATGACTGAAGCTGTAGGGGAGAGGGTAAGCTTCTTGATCAGCCGGGCATGGAGCCAGAGCATGTCTGACAAGGAGATAGCAGGTCCTCTGCACGGCAGAGTGGCAAGGCCTTACCCAGAGACACCAAGAGCCTGCAGTTTTCCAGCATCACCTCCTGGTACAGGGTCCTCTGAGCTGGGTCCAGCTGCCTCCACTCCTCCTGGGTAAAAGTCACGGCCACATCATCGAAAGTCACAGACACCTGTCAAATAGAGGTAGTAGTGCTGACCCTGGGGCTGTTGGATGGGATCAGAGCTTGTTTCTGGAAGGCTGTTAAAGGTGCAGAGAGATCAAGACCCTAACCACTTAGCACCTCCTGAGGGCCAAGCTCTAGGCTGGGCTGAAGTGGAAGTGGACAATGTTTTGGACATAATACAGTAGTGTAAGAAAGAAAGTCACACAAGACAATGGAAAGTCACACAAGACAATGGAAAGTCACACAAGACAATGGAAGTGATGTGTGGGCTGTCAGATGCAAACAGGAGAGGCTGTAGGACCTCAGAGGAATGAATAAATAATGATAATAACAGTATCAATAATGGTAACAACAACAGTACCTGAGCCTCCCTGGTCCTGCTAGCTGCCTGCCCCATGGTGAGGGCTTCACTTCCTGGTTAAAGTGACTAAAAGTCCCCAGTTCTTTCTTCACTCTCTTGTTAACATCCAAACTCTTGAACCCAACACTTACCAGCTGTGTTACCTCGGAGACATCACTTCATCTCTCTGAGCCTTGGTTTCTGGATCAATACAACAATAGTTCCCACTTCACTAATATCAGTTGTGAGATTTAGACAGAAATTATTCAATGTTCGGTGTGCTTGGGGATTTTCATTAATTGTCCCACAGCCCCTGAGGTAAACATCTCCATGCCAGCCGATGACCCGAGACTAAGGGAGCTCCACCAAATCCACCAAGAGTCTTGTGTCTTACAAACGAGGAGCAAGATTTTAACACAGTTAACCCTGATACACGGTCTAATAAAGTAACCCGACACGCTTCCATCATCAAAATGAATACCTAATGACAAAGTTGTGAAGCATTTACACCAATTTTTGCTGTTAAGTCCATTTCATCACGCCTGAAAATATTCCTGTGAACATGCACAGAGAAGCAGAGCCTTCATCATTGACCTCCCTGGAGAGACCCCTGAAGGGGTGGAACTACCTGGGTAATGGCAGGGCCCGGACCAGCTTCCCACACCCTCCTGGGTCTCCCAGACTCCGGGGAGGTTCCACAATGAACCATTAGCCGCTTCCTTCCTGAACCCTGACAGCACTTAGCCCTACGCCAGGAATACTTCAGGACCAGAGAGCACAAATGGCTAAAGATAACACTGGCTTTGGCCATGAGACTGGCCACAACGTCTGACCTGGCTGAAGGTGAGTGAAACATTCGACAACAGACTACAGGACCTCGCCCTCCCAAGACACGTCTTAACATCTAGGAGGCACCATGGCAACCTCACAGGCCCTCATGGGCCTTGTGAAACAACCAATATGCCTTGGCTTTGTCCATGCGCTTATCTCTCCCTCCATTTCCCAAGGCCACCGGTTGGAGAAAGGCGGGGGCGGGGTGGGGGCAGGGTACATCCCTGCAGCACATGGCGGAGTTCGGGATTTACTATGATGGAAACCCCTGAAGGATACATCACTCATTTTTCCACAACTTACTGATCATGTGTCAGGGACCCAACAGCCTTTAGGACCAAGGATAAATTAAGTAGCAAAGCAGCTCCACACGCCAGAGCACACGACCGCGAAGACAAACCCAGGGGATGCCTCCCTTCCGGAACCGTCTCCGCCCTCGGAGAGAAGCAGCTTCGCAACCAGCATCCACTCACCTGTGTCTTGTGGGTCGGCGCCGCCGCCATGATGGGGCCCTGCGTTCCAGCTACGCTGGGAGAGGCGAGCACCGGGCGGCCTGCTGCTCCTCGCCTCCGCCCCGCCTTGGCCGGGCGACCTCGGCTGACAGCCGCTCTCCGAGAAAAAGGCGCACCAGACCTGGCGCCGCCCTCGGGAACTGCGGGGACGAAGGGCGGGTGCTGAAGGCCCGGAGAGGCCATGGCCCGGCGGGCGACAAATGCACACGCCCGTTTAGGGAGTCACGCCCGTTTAGGGAGTCACGGCCCGTTCCAAGGCACGAAAGGAAGTCCCATCCCCCTTTCCTGCTCAGTCCCCACGAAATGCCCTAGTAGCCACGCAGGCCAGCTCTCGGCACCTAAAAGCCAGCCAGAAGCGAAAGGCTGAGGCAAATGGCGTCCTCTGAGAGAAACCGGAAGTCCCGCCCACGTACGTGCGCCGCAGGAAACGCCTCTACGACTGGCCGTCATTGGCCAGCGACCTCCTCAGACGCACAATGCACACCTCTGGGTAATGTAGTCTCCCCTAGATTCGCAGAAGTGAGGAGCGCCTTAACTGGGGGGAGGGAGTGGGGCGGAGGGAGGAGAGGGAGTGGGGCGGAGTGGGGGGAGGGAGTAGGGCGGAGGGAGGAGAGGGAGTGGGGCGGAGGGAGGGGTAAGGGGAGGGTCTTCCTCCAACTAAGAGCCACAGGAGGAGCTGAGCGCCGGCCCAGACCAGTTTCTTAACGGTGGGTTCAAGTGGAGAGGACTAGGCAGTGGGGGCGAGAGCGTCCATGCTGTGCCTCAGGGAAACTGAGGCTTGGAATGCTGGGACAGTCGCCCAGGGCGGTGCAAAGGGTGTAGGGCTGTGACTAAGCTCGCAGCCCGCATAGTGATTTTCCCCCCTTCCCCTCCTTATGCCTTCCCAGATCCTCTTCTTTTTTTTTAGGTCCCCAAACAGGGACCCAACCGGGATCCACAGAAGTGAAAGCACGGAGTCCTAACCACTGGACTGCCAGGGAATCCCCAAGAGCCTCTTCTTGAAACCTAGCAGGGCCCTGTGGAGCCTCCTCCCACCCCTACCCCCCAAGCCTCTCTGCGTCCCCTACTTCTTGTCTGTGGAAAAAGCTTTAGCGGACTAGGCCTCCCTCAGTTCCAAAGAGTGGGCTCAAACAGTTAATTATTTAAGGGGCAGCAATGGGAACAAAGAAGAGGCATTCAAGGAGGGAAGGGGATAATAACTAAAGCAATAAGTCAACCTTTGGGATGGGGTCACAAGACCATAGTTCTCTTTAAGGAAAACAGTTAACAATGTCTGATGCATGTTCTTAAGTTGTTTTTATAGAACCCAGACTCCCACCAGGTGGAAACTGCTGACCTCAAACACATCAGAAGCTAGGCTGGTTGGAATCAGAAGACTGATGGTGAGATTCCTGAAACACCACCCTGCTACCTCACCACCAACCGATCAGAAAATTGTCCATGAGCTGATCTTGCATCCTAGGACCCTCTCCCCTAACAGTCTTTAAAAACCCTTTCCTGAAGCCATTAGGGTGTTCAGATCTTTTTGAGCATGAACTGCCTGTTCTCCTTGCTTGGCACCCTGCAATAAATGCTATACTTTCCTTCACCACAACCCAGTGTCAATAGATTGGCTTTGCTATGCATGGAGTGAATGAACCCGAGTTTGGTTTGGTAGCATTCTAGGGGAACAGATTTTTAAAAAGTAGCTTCCCTGGTGGTCCAGTGAGTAAGACTGGGCCCACTTACCCAGTGGGTAAGACTCCGTGCTCCCAATGCAGGGGGCCTGGGTTTAGTCCCTAGTCAGGGAACTAGATCTTACATGCATGCTGCAACTAAGAGTCCACATGCTGCAACTAAGACCTGGCACAGCCAAAATAAAATAAATAAATAAATAAATATTTTTAAAAGTCTTTTTAAAAAAAAAAAGTAGCTTAAAAATTCTCCTGAGGAGGAAACCAGAAGTCCCATCTTGATACATAAACACACTTGTCTACTGCACCCTCCTGAGTCTTCTTTGGCCCAGAGCCTCCTTCATATGTAGTTGGCCTAGATCACCTGAGGAATGGATTTTCCATCCCCTGGGATGGGGAAGCCACATGTGGAGGAGACTTGGAGGGAAACTCAAGACTCCAGTTTTAAGCATGGTCAATTTGAAATGTTTATGAGACTACAAAGTACGTGTCACTTAATCATTTCAACCTATGACTGAACATTAGGAGAGAGTTCAAGCTTGGATATATAAATTTGAGAGTTGTTAGTTTACACTGTTATTTCAAGTCATGACTAGATGAGACTGTCAAGGGAATGAGTGTAGTCTGGAGAAGAAAATGATCAGAGCATGAACACTGGACCAGCCTGACTTCATTAAGTGGCTGATGACAGGAAACCAACAAACTCATGTCAGAGCTTCTAATGTCCACCCAGAGATATATTAGGGAATTTTAGAAGTCCTCATTGATGATTTTTTTTCATAACTGTGGAGCTGAAAGAGTAAAACACACTTTTTTTTTTTTTTTTTTGCGGTACGCGGGCCTCTCACTGTTGTGGCCTCTCCCGTTGCGGAGCACAGGCTCCAGACGCACAGGCTCAGCGGCCACGGCTCACGGGCCCAGCCGCTCCGTGGCATGTGGGATCTTCCCAGACCGGGGCACGAACCCGTGTCCCCTGCATCGGCAGGCGGACTCTCAACCACTGCGCCACCAGGGAAGCCCGTAAAACGCACTTTTCATGATTTCAGTGTGCATACACATTGAGAAATGGAATCAGAGAGTGCAGAAAATGCCCTTAAGGGATTTAATTTTTTTAAGATGAGAGAGAAGTATAGTGACAAGATGTTAATTAGGTCAAAGGAATGAAGAGTGTATGACATGAGTCAGTTCTGCAGAGAACTAGTAGGATTTACATATTTATAAACATTTATGTGTGTATATATATGTACATGCAATATATAAATAAAATATATTATATATATATGAGATTTATTTCAAGGAATTGACTTATGCAGTTGTGGGGCCTGGCAAGTCCAAAATCCATAGGGTAGAGGACAGGCTGGAAACTCTGTAGCCAGAACTAATGCTGCAGTCTTGAGGCTGAATTTCTTCCTCAGGGAAACCTTACTTTTCCTCTTAAGGCCTTTCAACTGATTGGATAAGGCCCAACCACTTAATCAAAATAGAATCCTTTGCTTAAAGTCAACTGATTGTAGATGTTGAGCACATCTACAAAATACCTTCACAGCAACACCCTAGATTAGTGTTTGATCCAATAACTGAGTAGTATAGCCTAGTCCAATTTACACATAAAACAAGCCATCACATTCCACTCCTTGTCAACTTGGCACCCATACATACTACCTAAAGCCAGACTTAATCTCCAGATGAAGACATGCTTCTGCCTAATCAGATCAAATCCAGTACTGATCCATTGTTATGATGGATCCTATTACATATGGTGGATTACATATGATGAATGTAATGTGAATCATATGTATCTATTGATTTAATGCTAAATTCTCTGATACTGGAAATTTCTTCTGGTTGTGTAAGATAATGTCTTTCTTCTCAGAAAATGCAAACAAATATTTAGGAAGAAAGAGACATGAAGTGTAAAGCTCTCAAAAGGTTCAGAAAAATATAAATTGATGGATAATGGGAAGGAGAAAGAGAATGAGAATGATAAAGCAAATGTGACAAAATGTTAGTTGATAAATCTATTTTAAGGGTATACAGAGTCTCTCTGTGCTTTTCTTAAGATTTTCCTGTAATTTTGAGATCATTTACAAACAAAAAGTATGGTGGGGTGTGGCAGAGCGAAGTGAGGTGGGAGTTTTCTCCACCTTCTCACTCCACTACAGTCTGTTCTTGCAGTAACCTGAGTGAGCCTCTTAAAACTGTGTGGAAGATAGACTCTAGGATGACCAGTGTGGGCCTCATAATTGCTGCCTATTGGTGTTCTAGCCTTTGTATGACCTCTCTCCTTGATTGTGGGCCAGACCTGTAACTTGCTTCTAGACATATAGAATATACCAAAGGTGATAGGTTATGCATGATTATGTGTACAGGGTAAGGCCCATCTTGCTGGATTCTCTCTATCCCTTGCAGTCTTGATGAAGCAAGCAACCATGATGGCAGGCTCACATAGTAAGGAACTGCAGGCAGTTTTTAGAAGCTGAGGGTGACCTTCATCGACAGACAACAAGAAACTAAAGCCTTCGGTCCTACAACCACAAGAAAATAAATTCTAGCAATAACCTGAATGAGTTTTGAAGCATCTTGTTCCTCAGTAGAGTCTCTGTTGAGATTTCAGTCCTGACTGACGACTTGAGCACAACTTTGTAAGATCTTGAGGCAGGCAACTCAGTTAAGCCATGACCAAACTCCTAATCCACTAAAAATGTGAAATAATTGGTGTGTGTTGTTTTAAGCCATACATTTATGATAGCTTTTACATAGCAGTAGAAAAGTAATACACACATAAGTTTGGAGTATGTCTTCTTCTATACAAAATCCAACTGCAATGGCCTCATCGTCCCAGAGTCAAAGTCAAAGTCCTCACAGTCTTTTACACCTTTCTGCTTTACTCCACATTAGTTTCCTGCTCCATGCACTGGCTGGATACACACTTGCTTTAAATCCTATGCCAGGACAGTCCCTGTCCCCTCCCATCTCCACATGGCTCACACTTTCACCATCTTATTGACTTTGGTCATGTATCACCTTCTCCATAAGCTCTTCCCTGATTATCCTAATAAAAATTGCAAACCGATACCCCCAATTCTGGCACCCACGTCCATCTTACTGTTCTCTTCCTTATCATTTTCTTTGTCATAGCACCGATTAACTTCTGATATATCCTTTGCTTGTTTATTATAATTATTGTTTATTTTCTGTCTCCCTCTCTTGATGTTCGTGAGGTCAAGGCTCTTTGTTTTGTTCCCTACTGTATACCAAAAATTTAAAACAATGTCTAGTACAAAGCAGACACACTATAGACGTTTCAGTAAGGTACAGTGGAACCCTGGTTCACAATCTTGAAAAATTATGTGTATAATTTTAAGCACTGCAATTGAGTTTTTGAACTGAAAAAAAAATTTTTTGTGCTTATGGCACAAAACCAAAATGATGGGACATCCGTGGTGGCGCAGTGGTTGAGAATCCACCTGCCAATGCAGGGGACACGGGTTCGAGCCCTGGTTCGGGAAGATCCCACATACCGCGGAGCAACGAAGCCTGCACGCTCTGGAGCCCTCACCACAACTAGAGAAGAGCCTGAGCGCTGCAACTAACACCCGATACAGCCAAATAAATAAATAAGTAAATAATTTTAAAAAAATACCAGACATCTCAAGTTAATGAACTTAGTGCATTTTTACATATGGGAAGACACAGGAGTCTGGGCTTCTTGAAATTATTCCTTTGATACACACCTTAACTATCTAGGGCCAGTATACTGTTCTCGTCTATCCTGAATCCCCTCAGAGACACTTTGTGTATGTCTATAAACACCCCACACCATGTATTTACTCTCAGTGCTCTCTTTACTACTAGAAAGAGAGCCATC